AAACACTTTGTCATGTACAATGACTAATCAAAACACATATTTGATGGTTTAATTAAACTGTCATATTCAATGGCATAATTCAATTGATTAGTTTCAATCTTCCTAATCCTCATGCAGTTTCTACAACAATCATGGCTATCCTCCATCGATAGCCCAAAACAGATATTCCTAGACAGATAAATAAATCTATCAACAGATAATTTATCAAATTTCCATAGGCGAGAGTGATTTATCAATCCAATTGCACCATTTAATCACAATTTCCTCCAATTTCATAATTCTCAAACCAATTTCATTATTTATACAAAATCATTTATTTAATTCAAATTAGGGCAATCGCCCCCCTTTCCAAATATTATAACCAAGATCAAATTTCATAAATTATACCTAAGTTATACCATGTTCAAGACTTTTATACACTTATGGTACCAAATGTGGAAACTCCTCTTTCAAAAATCAACACCCAAACCTTAACTTCACTCAAATCTTCCCAAATCCTACCATTTATATAAAATGACAAATATCAAGGTTGAAACTCATATTAAAGAGTAGATTATCCCTATCTCAAATGAAGAAGCTCAAAGAAGAAGAAGGAGAAACTTGGTGATGCCCCAAACTTGAACTTTTTTGGGTCAAAAGGAAGCCTACGCGATACTCTATCTTTTTTACAAAGGGAGTAGGGTAGAGACACCAAGATCATGGAGTATTTGTAGAGAGAGAGGCAGCCGAATTAGGGTCTTGGGTGAAAAAAGACCAAAAAGTGATATAAAATCACGCTGCTGCGAATTGATATACGAGGTCCTCGCTCGAGTGAAGGAGTTGTCGCTCGAACGACCAGACACAACAAGTGACCTTGCTCGAACGCAAGAAATGTCACTCGAGCGTACAATGCCAAGCTTTAGGTCTGCCACAATGCAGACGCACGCTCGAGCGCAAGAAGTCTCGCTCGAGCGAAGAAACAATTTCACAAGGCTCGGTCGAGCGTAAGAAGCCTCGCTCGAGTGACACACTTTCGCCTTCCCAAAAAAGTTACTTTTGGGAGAAAACCTGAAGACCCTCATTTCTCGCTCGAGCGTAAGAAATCTCGCTCGAGCGAAGAAGCAAACTACACAAGGATCGCTTGAGCGCAAGAAGCCTCGCTCAAGCAAAGAGGCCAAACTCTGGGTAACAACCATTTGTATCAATAGACAACTAACCTGTTCTAAACTCGTCCAACAAGTCCAAAAACTCAAATTCAAAGAATTAAAGGGAGGAAACAAGACATAGACAACAACACAATCACTGAATCCGAGTTCGGAACACAACAACGGTCGGGGTAAAACCGGGATCGCTATAATTATATCATTGAGAAAATGCACAAAAATCTCTCAGAATGGAAAACTAACACGTTATCCATGGCTAGCCGTGTTATCCTTATACAATCTGTTACTTTAGCCATGTCTTCATATGTCATCTCTATGACAAAACTTCCCTAAAACATCTACAAGGATATTGACAAAATCAATAGGAATTTTTTTGTGGGGTGACAATGGGACTACCAAAAAAAAAAAAATCTTGTCAATTGACGTCAAGTATGTTAAGCCAAAAAACAAAGGGGGATTAGGGATAAGGACAGTAAAACATCACAATAAGGCTTTCATGGTGAAACTTGGGTGGAATCTTCTTTATGGGGAATAAACTTTGTGGACCAATCTGCTGCGAAAGAATATACCTCTCTAATCATAACCTTTATAATTGGCTTATCAAACGCAGGGGATCTCACATTTGGAAAAACATTATCAAATCTAAGGATGTACTTAGGAAATGTATGAAATGGGTCATAGGTGATGGTGCTTTGGTATCTATATGTAAAGACCGGTGGTGTGGAGATAATGCAACTTATCAATCCAATTTTAGATGAGAAAATTAATTTTTTTTTGACTAATCAGAATATTACTAATATTCTTATTATTCATTCATCCAGATATGCTATTTTCCTTGATAAGCCCAATTGGAAGGGTTTCTTCTAGTACAGCCTATGATATTATTGCAAATACGGAGGATCAGGTTGTGAGCTGGAACTAGATATGGAAACTCAAAATTTCACAAAAGCCCAAGGTTTTCTTTGGCTTATTATGCATAACAAACTTCTTACTAACCATATGAGGAAAGTGAGAGTCCTTGTGGAGAATGATCATTGTCCTAGGTGCAAAATGCATAGAGTAGATATTCTTCACCTCTTTTGGGATTGTGTTTACTCCAAGATTATTTGGAATACTCTTAAATGTGACCAATGGCAAAAGGAGGCTGAATCTCTTTCCATTAAGAACCGGTTTTGTGTTAATCTCGAGGATAAAGTTTTGAATATAGAGGTATACCATGGAATATTTGGTTTGTTGTTATCTTACGGAAAATTTGGAAGGATAGAAATAAAAAGGTTTTTGAAAATTTGGTGATTAATTCCAATAGTAGCATTTACCAAGCATTCCAATAAACCTCTCATATTTATGAAGCTTTTAAGTCCCCTCTGGCAAATGATCGGTTAGATCCCATCCTAATTACCTGGTTGCGCCCTCGTATAGGTAAATTCAAGCTAAACGTTGATGGATGTGTGAAAAGGAATTCAGGCAAAGTAGGTTTTGGCAAGCTGTTCAGAGATGAAAGAGGAAAGTGGATTATTGTCTATTCAGGCAAATCGAACGATGCCACTAACAACTTAGAGGTGGAGCTTTGGGAAATTTACCGCGGCCTTACCATCATTCTTGAAAAAGGTTGAAGGCAGATAGAGATTGAAATAGATTGTGAGGAAGTGTTTACGCTCACTTCCACTCAGGACATCTAGAATTGCCCATTTCGAGCATTAGTGGCAGACACCAAGTTCCTACTCCACTGAACAGATTGCAGTGTCAAACATATCCTTCGCGAGGCACACAGATGCGCTGATGCTTTAGCTAATATAGGTACAGAATAAGCAGTGGAGCTCGATGTTTTTGATGATCTCCTAGGGGCACTTAGGCCTATTCTTGTAGTTCACATGACCGATAGTGTATTTGAGAGACTATTTACTCTAAACATTGTTAACTCTTATTTTATTAATGTATTTCTTCCCATTGCACCAAATAAATAAATAAATAAACCAACATCCAATTGAAAAGTATTTTTTTAGTATTTTCAGTGAACATTTTTTCCTTTTTGAAATTTCAAGATGTTTTAATTTAAAAGGTTCAAAAGTTTAAAACCTGAATGTTCAAAACAAAATGACACTAAAATCAAAGAAAAAAAAAAGATTTTTAAGCTGGTATCAAACCAAGTGAATACCAAAACTTCATTTGTTTAAAAAACAAAGGGGGTGTTTGGTTTGTATTTGTAGAATAGTTTTTGAGATAAAAAGTACGAAAATTTGTTTGATTTGCCTTTTTTCAGAAATGGTTTTAGAAAATTGTTTTGGGGAGAGAGTTTTAAAAAAAGTGATTGATTTGATGTGTATGAGAGAGAGTGATTTTGAAGGAATCCCGAGATACAAGCTATAGTTTTGTTCTTTCAACTATGTTGGGTTTATGACTTTTGATTTAGGAAGCACGGGTGCGGGTGCGGGTGCGGGTGCGGGTACTGTTAGATTTATTTTTTAGTGTGATCTAATAGCCTATATATATCTACATGTTTTAATTTATTTGGACTCCATAATTAGATAAAGCCAATATTATATATAAAGTTCAGTAATTAGAATTTTAATATAATCACTCTTCTAAGATAAGAAGAAAACCTTGATGGATAAAGAATTATTTTGATAGAGTTTATTTGGCCCTCTTTTCTCCTCTATATAAGGATGAGTGACTCTCCTTTCATATCATGAGTATTTTTTCATCACTTTAAGTTTTATAGTCATCCTAATTAAGAGAGACAGAGAGAAGAAGGTGAGCCAAGAATTAAAGGTTCAACTATTAGAGGTATTTTTTCAACTTCTCTAATTCAATGGCTGACAAAGGTATGTTCGCTTTATTCTTAAGTTATATTGAATTCAAAACCCTGTTAAGTTTAATTCAACATTATTATTATAGTTACATGTATTATTAAATCTTACAAAACAAACCAAACAGGCCAAATATTTTGAAAACAGGACTATTACAACCACACAATTGAGAAAGTCTTATTCGGACATATTCGTGCGTAAAAAATTGTGTGAATAAATCAATAATATTTTGCAAATTTGTGAATTAAAAAAGTAAAATAAAAAAATGGAAACATGAAAATAGCCCAGTGCTGGACCAGAGAGGTATATAAGCAAAGGAGCACCGAAGCTAATTCTTCTGATAGAGTTTATTTGGCCCTCTTTTCTCCTCTATATAAGGATGTGTGACTCTCCTTTTTTCACCACTTTAAGGCCAAGTTTGGGAAGACTAAAAAAGTGCACTTTTTGTCTTTTTGAACTAAAAAATTGAGGTTGAAAATATGGATGTTTGGGTTAATTTTTTGACTTTTTATTGAAAAATGTGTAATAAAAAATTGTAAAAATTGAT